ATAGATGTTACAACAAGGTGGCTAAGTGACTAAGTACATAAGCAGGAGTATTGCAAACCCTATGACTCCATGATAGGGAGGTGTTGCTTTTATGAAAAAAGAATTTAAAAATTAGTGAAACATATTAATAAAAATACTCTAGTTGCACATGAGCCAACTAGGCAGATAAACAGTAAATCATGCCAGTACTTTTGGTTTGCTTCCAAATATTTCTGATTTTTATCATTAATCGTAACTATCAAGGTAAATTGTTCAGATCAGTAAGTGGAAAGTTTAGTTTTTACAGGGAAATGTACAGCAGAATAATATTAAATAATGTTGAATATTTTTGTAATTATCTAGCTTTTTCTTATAATCTTTTCCCCTACTTGGAGGTGTCTCCTGGAATTCACAAGTTCTAGAAACACACAAGTTGATGATTTATACTTTGAGATCTCGAATTCATTCATTCATTCCCTTTTAGTTCCTATTTTATACTTTTCTAATGGTCTGAGTTTAGAAAGCTCATGTTTCTAAGGGAAATCCATATTACATACATAGAACAATGTCAGGTGGCAAATAAAATATGAAGAAAACTAAGGAGATGGATATGAGATGGAAAAACGTTTTTTATAAAGTGGTATAAGGACAGGTCTCTTGATTTTAAAGTTATTTTTATTGGCGTACATTTGTTGTACGCAGTGATGGGTTTCATGCAAACAGTTTCTTTCCTTGTACTTTATCATATTTTGTACTTCACATAGTACTTACATTATGTACTTTGACCATGTTCACCCTTAGGGGGATTTGTAGCAAGGGGCTAAGTGAAAAGAGGTAGAGAGTGGCATGAAGGTCTAGAACCTTCAGGTATATGCAACCTGAGGCAGAGAACTTGGACTGAGAGTGAAAAAGAAGAGAGGGAAGGAGACAATAGAGGGAGAAGGGAGTGAAATAGGGAAGCCCTGCATATTACTGATACTTTGTGACCCATCTGAGAGGGTTGGCAGGATCTTTAGATAGACAAGAAGTCATTAGGAGACTTTGGCTCAGGTGAGACAGGACTTAATTACATTATCATTCAGATTAATTGTTTAATTCATAGTACCTCTGTATAAATAAAAGTAAAATTCAGTCTTTATAAAGTTGCTACATTATGGCAAGGATTCTCCAAGCACCATCCTTAGAAATATTGCCTTGATACATAATTTGATAATGGATTTGGAAGTTGTATTTTCAGAGCTGTTTTTCATTGTATCTCAGTGGGTCGAAAATAAAATGCACCCAAAGATTAGTAGACTATAAAGTGATTTTATTGGCACAGTAGATGAGAAAAAAGTAAATTATAATAGCGCCTTAATGGATTCTAAGCATATTATTTAATATCTGCAAATTGTAATCCATGATTATCTAAGTATGACAATATAAGAAATCTTTTCAAAAAACTAGTATACACTATTTAGAAAAGGTCAGCTATTGTTAGGAATAAAACATTACAGTTCAATATTCATCTTTGATCTTTGAAGAAATAAACAACACACTAGTAGTATTTAACAAATAGTGTAAAATAACTCAAGGTTTTGTGTACTGAAACATTGAAACCTGTAAGGCTTTGCCTTAGAAATGAAGGGTTCTTTGTTTTTGAACAAGTCACATATGAAATTAAAATCAACTTAAAAGTGTTATTCCACTTCTTTTTAACTACTCTGAATAGGAAGCAGAATAAACATATTTGTTGGATGTCTATAATGTGCCAATTATTGTTATGTGTTTTCTATGCATTACATTGTATTTCTTCTTCGCAATCAACCACTGACTTGATATTATCGAGGATTCAAAGTCACTACATGATGGACTGGAATCACTCCTAAGAATTTCAAGCGCCAAAGTGGTGCTCACGCCAATGTGCTGTCTTACATTCCAGCATTCTTTCTTGTATTTAAAGACCTAAAGGCAACCACTTAGAATGCCATCTGGTTTTCTGAGTGACTCTGAATTATTGATTATTTCATAAAATTAACTATTCAATTGGCTCAATCACAAAATTCCTTTTGATGGTCAAATAATGCAGGTAATTTGGGCCCCTGTTCTAATAATGAGAATTACATGCCAGAATCAAACACTGGGGACAACTCACTGTTTTGCATATTAAAGTTTCAAGAACACATAGAACAACAAGAACAAAAACTCATCAACTCCTTACAATGAAGCAATACATTTGTGTTGATTACAAGTCCCAGAAAAGTTGATTGCACTCATGCCATGGTCACCTGATGACATTTTGATACAGCAAGGGTTATGCTGGTTTAATCAAATGCAGGTGCACATACTGAAAACAATTCAGGATATATATTTATTTAGTTTGGTACCATTTTATACCAGTTATTTTTACACTGATGCCAAAATCTTCGATTATTATGAATTTATTATTTGGATTTCAAGTAAAGTTTAATATTTTTAAAATATATAGACAAGAAGTTATGCTGGATAGATTCAGTAGTAAACTTGACACGCCTGGGAAGAGGGAACCTTAATCTGGGACTTTCCTCTAATGGATTGGTCTATGGGAATGTCTTTGTTGAGTGATGTGGGAGGGTCCAGCTCAGTAGGGGTAATGCCATCCCTGGGCAGGTGGTTCTGAATTGTATAAGAAAGCAGGCTGAGCATGGGCCAGGGAAGAAAGCTAGTGAGCACCGTTCATCCATGGTCTGTGCTTCAGTTTCTGCCTCCAGGGTCCTTCCCTGAGTTCCTGTCCTGACTTCCCCCAGTGATAGACTATCAGTTGGAAGAGTAAAGAAACCCTTTCATCCCCAAGCTCATTTTGGTCAGTGTTTTATCACAGTAATACAAAGTTACCTAGGACAGAAGTCATAATACATCACAACTCAAGGGATAGCTTTGTATTTAATGGATGTGACATATAATAAGTTTGCTAATATTTCTAATACTTGTCTTCTTAGTCCTTTTCCAGGTTGTAATTTCTGTATAAGGAAGGAAGTAACTTAAATAAATAATCTTAAGAGTACACATTTAGTGAGGATAGGTCCTGGGCTTTCTTGTTATGACTGTAGCCCTAAGGATTAGTGAACTTGTTATTATACCATTAGGTCCACAATAAATGCTTATTACTGATAAATAAGTGGAGAAATATTTTTAGAGACTATGTAGGAGACATTGACTTAAACTAAAATAGGAGGAAAAAAATGACCAACACACATGGAATGTTTCTATGTGACAGTGATCTCAAATACTGTGGAGTTGTTAAATCAAAGACAGTAAAATCAAGTAAAGAAATATGCATAGGAAGCTCCAATAATTAATGCCTTTTCAAAGCATTTTGTTTCAACTAATGAGGTAGATATAACAGCATCCTTCCTTACAGATTAAGGACCATGAACCATTGAGAGACTGGGTGGCATGGCCAAGTTCACACTGCTGACCAGAGAAAATTAGGAGTAGTCCTGGAGATCTTTCTATGTGGGTTTATTCAATTGTGCTATCTCCAGCATACCATTTATATATAATCGTTCCCCCAGCTGCAAGATGAGGGTATAAATACTAGGTTGGCATTCTATATGAATTTACAAGGATAAAACAGCACAAAGTAACAAAATGTACAAAGTAGCCCAGTGATATAAAACAGATAGTACTGAAGTGTTTTTAGAATATAGAGTGGCTTTCAAAATGGATGGTGATTAAGAAGAGGACGCTGGACTCAACAGACCTGGGTTCTGTTCCCAGCCTCAAGCTATGTGGCTCTGGGAAACAATTCAGCCTCACTAAACTCAGTTTTTCACATCTGTAAAATAACAATACTGATTCTTAACATGAAGATTTGTATGAATATCAAATGATTACACCAAAAGCGCTGGCCTTGGAGCTCATACACTGTAAAGACTACACATTCTCTTTGGATTCCCTGTTTGATTAAGTAGCGCTTAGAATGTGTGTTAATTGCTTTACATTTTCCTACAACAATAGTGAAAGCACAGGTATTCCCAAGAACTATTATTGAAGTAATCACAAATGCCCATTTTGCCTCAAAAAAAAAAAAAAAAAAAAAAAAAAAAAAAAACCCAAAACTCTTTCCCAGCAATTGCTGAGGACTCAGATGTTCCCATAGACAGCAGGATGGGCAGACATTGCTCTGAGAGTCAAATGGCTCTGTGAAAGTTTTGAGGGATCAGGCACCTTTCAGGTATTACAAAAGAAGTTCAGTTTCTATCATGTTATATATTTAGATTCTGTAAATAATTCAGACTCGGTCATGGACATCCAAGTAAAGAAATAAAATAAACTGAAATCTATTTCCCTTTGGAAAGATGAGAGAAATTATCAACTTCTAATCTTAGTACAAATTAATTTACCTTAATGCAAAAGGTGCGATTCCAAAGAATAGAACATATCCAAGCTAAATTTGAGCTATGGCAAAGGAAAAACAAGTCTTAAAGTGCGGGATATTGCCCACCACTCTATACTGACTGAGAAGTCAACATCACCCAGCACCTACTCTACTGAATTCTCCCTATTCTCCCCAGGTTGTTTTCTCAAAACCATTCTGATTTTCATATAGTATCTAACATGTACAGCCTTGTTAGATCCCTGTGTCTCTTTCTGGAAGTGGCATCCTGGATAGCAATTTATCCTATTCTTTATTTTCTCTAAAACATCCAGCAATGTGCCTCACACAGAAGGTACTTAACAAGAGCTGGCTATTAGAACACAGTGGGAATGCATCAGCCAGCAAACAGGTAAAGATGGGAATAACACCAAAGGAAGAGCCTTCTTCAGTTTTGTTTTGGGTTTACAGGTACAAAGACTTGCAATTCTAGGTCTTTCTGAATTTCACGCCATCATGAACCCCAAAGCAGACTTGATGGGGTCCCTGGTTTGTAGGAATCAACATCTAAGCACACTCTCTGACCACTTTTAAAGAAGCATGTATTTATATTAAATATGAGATGAACAGATTTTTAAGTCACTTTTGAACAAGCCCTGTCAGTATTTGGTTGTGTGTATCTTACCGGCTCTCCTTTCTCCCCTTTCAGTCCAAGGGAACCCAGAGCTCCCAATAATTCAGCTTCCTCCTGAGCAAAATAAATTTCTGTGTTAGAAATCATTCTGTTGCATTGTTCTAAAGCCAACTCTGTCATCCACCTATCTATCATCTATCTATCATCTATCTATCTATCATCTATCTATCAATCATCTATCTATCATCTATCTATCATCTTCTATCTATCATCCATTTATCTATCATCTTTTATTCATCTATCTATCATATATCTGTCTATCATTTATTTATCTAGAACAGACCTCATGATACTATAAGCATTCATGAAAAATGTTCTTGTAGGTTCGTGGACCCATTCTCCCTAATCAGGGGACGTTATTGGTGCAGATAGAATTAACTGAACACCCACATGTACATACACAACCAAAACTAATGGGAAAACACAGCTGGTTAGAAATTTTGGGGTACTGAATGAATATATTTATCAGACAGGAAAGAAGAAATACTCTGCAAAGTATTTTTGTGTTTATTTGTTGAAGAGCAGTTATTGTTCCTCTCATTCTGAATCCCTGGGACTGCAGCTCATTTCTAGCATATGTTACATACTCTGTTTTTGTCTGTCATACAGTGGTTTCTCCCTTCAAGTTTCTGTTAATTGTAACTTTCATACACTGAAAGGAAGGTCAGATGTGTCAAAACTATTCATGTAAAAATCCAAGAAATGAATCCTTTTTTTAAATACACTTTGGTGACTGTATGGCTTAGGAATTTGCTTTAACTAGCACCAAGGCAAGACAGAGTCTCTGCTCTACAGGCTTACTATCTGGAGTCACCTTTAAGTGGGCACATGTTAAAACTAGTATACCTTGTTTGGAATGCACTGACATCGGTCCTTAAGTTCTTGCTTTGCCGGAAGATATGCAGATATTTTACCAGCATGAGCAGTTACCCATGACGATGTGGTACTTCCAAAGTTGACTTGCTCTGGACACTAAAATTCAAAAAGAGAGTTCAGAGAGTGGCATCAGCTTCAGATGCTGGCTCTCATTAAACCAGGCATGCCTGGTTGCCTGCTATACCTCCTTCTTACAGCCAAACACTGGCACCCACATGCAAAAATTTATCACTCTTATGCTCTGTCTCTGAGCCCCCAATGTATTAAAATCACACCAATGACACACAAAGAATGTATTAAAATTGACGATTTTAGTGAGGAATTCTCTACAATGGATATCTTTATGGTGAGAGCAATAATCTTATACATTTATAATACATTCTTGTAATAAAATAATTCATACAAGTAAAATATGGATAGATATTTGGTGAACAAAAATTAAAATAAGAACATGTTATTTGAATCTGTAATACATAGTTACTACAAGTTAGTTATAAGTACAAATAAAGTTGTAAGTGATTTCTTCTTACACTCTGAAATGATAGTTGTTTAATAAAATTAACCTACTCTATCTAGTCCAGTGTTCTTTACAGACATACATACAGAGAGACAAACAGTTTAAATCTAGTGAATTTAGAATATGCTAGACAACATGAAGCTAAATTTGATTACAAAGAAATAACTTTTTTTCCTTAAAACATAATTCAGGGGGATGAAGAGATGGCTCGGAGGTTAAGAGCACTGACTGCTCTTCCAGAAGACTGAGGTTCAATTCCCAGCACTGACATGGTGGCTAGCAACTGTCTGTAACTCCAGTTCCAGGGGATCCAATGCCTTCTTCTGACCTCTATGGACAAATCATGACACACATGAGGGCAATACACCCAGACACATAAAAAAGTAATAATAAATAAAATTTTAAAAAATTAATTCAGGTGACTGAATAGATGGCTCAGGGATTAAGAGCCCTTATTGTTCTTGCAGAAGACCCGAGTTCAGTTCTCAGTCCCATGAAGGGCAGCTTACAACTGCTTGTAAACCCAGCTCCAGAGGATCTTACCCTTCTTCTGGACTCTGCGGGCACCTGAGTTCATGTACACATACCCACACACAGACACACACATGTATGCATATACATAATTAAAAACAAAGTAAACCTTTAAAATCAGAAAGAAAGAGAGAGTGGGAAAGGGAAGAAGGGAGGGAGGAAGAGAGGTGGGAGGAAGAGAGAGTGGGAGAAAGGGAAGGAAGGAGGGAGAGAGGGAGGGAGGGAGGAAAGAAGAAAGAAAAGGCCTTCATCAGGTGGTAATTCTGAAGAGAATATAAACACGTCTTATCTTCTCGATATCACATGTTTATCATGATTAACTCAACATTTGCAGCTTTAATGAAGGGAAAGTATTAGGTGAAAGAATTCACAGGTTAATTTGTATACTGGAAATTATATATGCATGAAAAATATTTAAGATTTTAAAACTAAGAACTTTTCAATGATTTCAGTAAGAATACTACAGCGATTACTGTGGTGTAAAGTCATGATAGATATGTTTATGTATTTGACATTTACTTCCTTTCTCTATTTTCATTTTCTCAAATGAGCATTCATAATTTCAGTGAGGAAAATTGTTTTGAAAGGAGATAGTTCTCTAATACTTGTGACAATACAAACTATAACAAAAGTAGCTCCCAGATGAACTGTGACCAGTCTATTGTATTTGCCATTGGTTATTTCATGCCTACTCTCTCAAAATTTAGTGGTTATTAGGTATCTTAATAAAATTTCAATTCCAAAATCCTAAAAGCTACAATCAAAGAAAACAGACCATCACCAAAATAGTACATTCATCCAAGCTGAGCAGTTAATTTGGAAATTTACACTGAAGTACATCTTAGGATTCATTATAAAATGGTCCACATCCAAAAAGTATGCAAAGACACCAAAAAGCTGACTGTTAAGGACTGCTTCCTTAGGCTTTCATTGACACATAGTTAGCCCACCCCTAAAATTTTCAGTGCTTGTTGCTCTTCTCTTTGCATTTATTCTTCATTCTTTCAGTCTATTTCTGCAGCCATAAAGTTTGACTATGACTCTATGAAGAGACTGAAAATCTGACTTACTAGGAACAAAGGAGCATGTCTATGGATTGTCTGGAATAAATTTTACCTAAATATTACAAAATATTTCACAAAATATTAAGACAAGTCATGTGGTATTTGAATTTCCAGGGTAAAGTTAAAGTTTTAAAGAGATGTAGAAATTTTCTGATTTTTAAGAATGTTGTTATTTGCTTATATGTTTATATGTTTATTTATTTATTGTGCATATTAGTGGGGTATGTATTTAGGTGCATGTACTTACTGCACCCACAGAAGGCACAGGAAGGTGTAAGGTGTCTTCCTCTATCACTACTGTCTAACTAATTCTTTTGAGGCAGGGTCTCTCCCTGAACCTGGAGCTTGTGGTTTTTAGTTAAGCCGGTAGCCATGGAGCCCCAGTAATTCTCTCGTCTCTGTTCCCAGCTCCTAGCACTGGAGTTATAGGGGAGCTAGAGACCATACCTGGTTTGTCACCTAAGTACTGAAATCTGAACTGGCGTCACCATGTTTGTGTAGCAAATGGTCTTAACCACTGAGCCATCACTCTGGCCCCCTTTAGAATATTTTTCAAAAAACAAAAGCAAGGAAGACAGTTGGTTTCAAAAATACATCAAATGTATTTAAATGACTTTTATATAATTATCTTTTTTATGTATTCCTGTTTATGAAATATGTCATGTTTTTAGTTATTTTTAATTACTGAATGGATGATGAAGTCATTTCCCAAATATATATCACCACGAAAAATATTTTTTCATTCTTGATATGAAATCTTAACTTACTTTCAACTAATTTCCAAGTAGTCCTTTTATACATGATTTTTTTATTAATGCTTTAGGTTGGCACCATGATTTAAAGCAAATTTTTCATAGCATGTGAGTTCATGCCATTGATGTTAATTACTAAATTACTTTATCCAATTTATCACCGATACTTCTCTAAACTGTTTTTTTTTCATAATTTAGGTTGAAAATATTAATGAAACAAGACAGTGGATATTGGTGAAAAAAATACAAGATTTAGAAATATCAAAATATCATTGTATTATTATTAAATTAAAGAAAATCAGTATTTTAAGAAACTTGATGTCAGACAATCACAATAAACTGAAACAAACTTTGGGAAGAATAAAACCTTCATGAAGATCGGTATGCTGCAGGCAGTCTCGGTATTCCATGTCTGTAGATTGGCATCCTAAGTTATCTTTTTAGATATTTATAGAAAGATATTTGGCTGACTTTGATTTTACTTGGAATGAGATCCATTCCTGGGTTTGAGATGTGCTTTATACAGCCAAGCTACATAAGCAGGACTTCATACATGAAAGACTCTGAGTCATTGGACTAGATTTTCATTCTATTACTTGAAGTACATGAGGGAAGCTACAAATGCTTTTGAATTTTAAAGAGATTTATTAAATTTTTGTATAGATTTCCCGGCAAAAATGTAAGATGCAAAGAGCCAGAACTTTTAATCTTGTACTTTTGTTTTCAGAGGTTCTTTTCCTAAGCTTTTTAGACTTACTCTCTTCCAATAATCTTTCCTTTAGTAGGTGACAAATCAACAAAGGAAGAGGTACTGCTGTAACAACCTTTTGCTAACAAAGTAGTAGAAATAAAAGTGTGAACATAAATCTTCCATCGCAGAGTTCACATTGTATTTCAATAAAATGAAAACAAATATCATTTTATTCATATAAGATGGCACAGATGACTATTGTTCTTCTTGGAATGAATGATGGGTGGAAGAGAATATGGTAGCTTTACAGCGGAGTTCAAAATATTTGACACGAGAGATTAATGAGCTGAATTTATATTTTGTTGCTAAATAGGAATCAGTAAAGACTGAGAGAAACATGAATATACAGGACTGTGTTCATGTTAGTCAGGCTAGTTCTTTAGCACAGTGTCCATAGATCAATCAGTGTTTTGAATAATAAACATTTCTTGCAAAAAGCTCACGTTATGTGTGTGTGTGTGTGTGTGTGTGTGTGTGTGTGTGTGTGTTTTAGAGACTTACTCTGGTGATACTGCCAAGGAAAAGAATGGGAGTTAGAAAGGCAGTTGACATAATGATGCACCATCCAGATATAAGGTAAAAGTGACCTTTGGAAATTACAAGAAAAAGAAGGGAATGAAAATGTGTCCATAAAGCTAACCTAGACAAGACGGTTGTACTGATTAGTCTTGACTGCAAACTTGATAGAGTTGCGAGCTACCTGGAAGTGAAGTGGTCTTCTGAGTGTGTCTACAGCTTCTTTAGCCTTAACCTCAGTGACTCCTCAGGGAGCTCCTAGAGTTTTGGCCATGAGTAGGACTGTATCATTGGTCTCTGATTCTGAAGTTTCCACTTTCTTGGATCAAGCAGCTACCAGGTTCTCAGGATTTCCCACTTGTGGGCAGCCATAATATTATTCAGCTTCTGATCACTTAGGCCAGTTTAATAAATCCCCTTTTATATAAGTATATATTATACTTAAGTATAATATACAGTGATGTAGTCTATTGATTCTATTCCTTTGGAACACCCAGCCAATACAATGGGTCACAGATATGAAAAGAGAAATGAGCAAGACTAGAACTGACCATAGATCTAAAACTTCTGTAAGTGAAAAATGAAGGCACTAACTATAGTAGTAGCATAGCATGGGGGCAATGGTACTTATGTTGAGTGCAAAGTGAGGATATATCCCCAAAATTCATGTGGAACTATGGAATTGAAACTTTGGAAGGTGTTAAGAAGGTCTCTATAGGTGGAAAAAATTATTCATCCTGCTTGAACAGTAGACACTAGGTACTGCCCTAAATTTAGAGTCTACAAACTATACAAGAAAAAGGTAACTGCGGCTTTTGTACCTCACATGCTAAGAAACCCAACTTACCTTAGTAGCTGATAGTTCACAACATGTTTCTTGAGCTAAGATGTTAGTGTTGCAGTAGATTTTAAGTTGATGAAGTTCAATCTATTAAACATGAGTAGTGATACACATCATTAGTTTTTTGAGAATAATATATAGGCGCTATGAGACATAAATTACTGATTCATATTTTCTAATGCTTCAATTTAATTTAGGATTAATTACTTTAAGAATCACTTAAGAAACAGACTCATCCAGAGGTAGATATTTAGAAAGAGGAAATTGGTTAATGAAAGCAATTGCAAAGCTTAGCTAATTGTATCAAGCAATAAAAACAAAATAATTAAAGAGGCAATACAAAAGAAATGTTTAATTAGAGAGATACATTGCTCCAATCAAGTATGTGCCTAACATGGCATTTCATAGTAAATCTTTGGAGGAAATGTGGTCAAATATATGTGGTGAATATATGCTGACTCACTGCCTGAACCCAGTGACACCTGCCTGTGATACCAGTGGTTAATGAAATTGATGCTAAAGGAAACTGAGGCCAACATGGGTTACATATGGAGTTCCAGACCATCCTGGACTACATGAAGAGATCCTGACTCTAGAAAACGAAACCAACCAAACAAAAATAATCACAATCTTTGTAGAAAAGTTTCTTCTGTTTGCAGCAGATTCACATTTCATGACATTTAGACATGAAATAAAAAGTTCTTCAGGGAAAATACATCCGTGACTTTAAAGGAGAGATCACAACTGTCTAAGAAATGGTAAGTAGTACTTATTATTGATAAAAATATCAATATGGACTACTATCCTCAGACCTCTTGGGGTAAGTCTATAGCGCAGCTCTCCGCGCCGGGACTCCCTAAGCCTCATTCACCCTTCCACCCCACCCCCCACCCCCCTGCCTCCCGACCGCTGTTCTATACTCTAGTTTGGACCCTGTGCCATTCCTAGTCTTGGGGCCCCAGACACCTGGGGAACCAATACTGTTTCCTGATCCTTCTCACCCAGAGCAACTCAGGCCCTTTCTTGGGCTCCAGGAGCACCGCTTCTGGTCCTG